ACACCATCAAGCCATAAACCTGCAAACAATTCCATAGACATCTACAAATACTAGACTAAAACCCAACAAACCAAATCACTAATTACCACTCAAGTCGATCCTGCCATTGTCCTTAATCTCCTACGAAACGACCACCTCTTGTCAAATAAAAAAAGTCAGAAACAAAAGAAGACCATAAGCAAAGAACATCAAAATTGGCAGAAAAAGTTGAATAAAGAAGTTGGTAGAAATCCTTGAAGTTTCGATGTGAACGAAGAATCTACGTTGCTGAAGGAATAATTGGTAGTGATAGGCTGGTGACAAAAGGCGACGAACAAGCTTGGCAGCTAGCAGCCAGCAACGACAATAACGGTGACAAGTAACGATTAGCACGACTTCTGAAGATCTGAACGATGAAGACAAAGAGTTGGACGAAAGAAACAACATACTGAAAGTTAGAGAAGATCCGACGGTGGAAGAAGCTGGAACAAAAAAAGAAAAACCCGAAGCTTGAACTTCAAATCTGTGCCTTTAGGAAGTGATTTAAAAAAAAAAAAAAAGCTCGTATTCGAAATGAGAAGGGTGAAAAGCAACAGTGGGGAAAATTTTGGATTGATTGGTTGTCAGTCGATGACGGAGTACGACGGCACCGGTGGTGGAGCGCGACGCACCGGTAGTAGAATCTGGAAACTTTTAAAATTTTCAACCTGGATGCTTCTGTCTCTAGAGAGAGAAGGAGAGAAAGTTAAGTGTAGGGAGAGAAAAAAAATGGCAAAATGGAAAGAAAAGCTTAAAAGTAAGCTTTTATAGGATTAATAAAATGGTGTCATTTTGGTCAGGAAAATCGAGTTCGCTTTGACCCGTTTAAAGATCCGCGCCTCAAACATCGCGCCATCCGACCCAATCGCTTAGCCCAATCTTTTCTTCCAATCTAGCATCGCGCCATTGTGCTCCAAACCAAGCCATTTTCTTGTGTGAAGTTGAGCTGATCTCAGCCGCTCAAGTCAAGCCACGTTAAGGTTTTTTTTTCATTTATTATTATTATTATTATTATTATTATTATTATTTATTAGATTAAAATTATTTTGTATTTCTTATTTTAGGCTTATTTTTATTTTTTTAATTTTTATTTTATTTTTTTATGATTTTTCTAAAATAAAAAAATTTTTCAAAAAAAATATTTTTGAAAAAAAGTTGAAAGTATCAATTTTTCTTAAAAATAAAAATTTAAAAAAATTTTAGCAAAAGTTGAAAGTATCAATTTCCCTTGAAAATAAAATTTTCAAATGCTCTAAGGAAAAGTTGAAAATATCAATTTTTCTTAAAAATAAAACTTCCAAAAATATTTTAGGGAAAGTTGAAAGTATCAATTTTCTTTATATAAAAGCAATTAGTGTTTTTTTAAAAAGAGAGGAAAAGATTTATATCAAAAGTTGAATCATTATTTCTTTTTTTTTCTTTTTTTTTATTTTAAATAATCCGACGATAGAACCTCTGCAAGTGAAACAGTAATCTCCTTACATATTCTTGAAGGGAGAAAATTTTTTTAATTTTCTATTAAAAGTATTAGAGTCAATTGAGAATAATTTTTAATAATTAATTACTTGATAAATTTTTAAGGCTTATTGGATAACACGAAATTAAGCTGGTACATCTTTCGATGGGCGTTGTGAGGGTGCTATAACCTTTCTCATACGTAACCGTACTCCGAACCCTGTTCTGGTTAGTAGACCTGAACCTATTTTTTTAGAGACCCTTAGGCATAGGTGTTTCTTAAAAGGATAGATTCTTTAGATGGTCAATCGCACCTAGATAAAAAAAATTGGTGGTAACTCCTAAAGTCAATGTCTAGCGATAGATCATCGAATCTATATGTTATGACAAATATATTAGTCAAATCCAATGTCTGTTTATCCGAATGACAAAAAGTTCTATTTTTCTTAAATAAAATCTTGATTTCAAGTTTTGTGAATAAAAAAAATAACTTTAACAAAGTTTGCTCCCTTTATAGGGTTCAACTCGGCTCGACCTTAGATTAATCATGGTTTAAAGTGACTACCGAAAATCAGAGGGTCCTGGACAAAAAAAAAATCGGTCAAATGATTTAAAATTCTCTTTTATATACCAAGCTAATAGTCAAATACCTTTTCTAAAACAATGTAAGCATAAACTTGGCAAATTGCTAATGTGCAGACTGTAAATGAGATTCTTTTCATTACTATTAATTAATAATATATCATCATATTTCCTTTTTAATGACAGATGTATTTTAATTTGGTAAACAAGCATTATGGAGTTTGAACTGAATTGGTATTAGATGAATTATACTATTACTAGTGCTAACTCAGTTTGTTCATTCACTGGGTCACGGGTGATGATGATCTTTCTGGTTAAGTCAGCTAGAGCATTAGGTTTCCAATCTTGAAAATTCCTTCTAAAGTTGGCACACTTTCATTCAACTCATCAAGCAATCCATGGTCTTATCTTCTCTGGTTTGAATAAATCTAAATTATAATGTAATCTCTGTTCTTTCAGCATAAATAGAAAGTGTGTTTGCCAGTGGTCTCTTTCTCTCTCTTAAAAAAGAGAATGAATAGTGGAAGACTGTTGGTCTAGCCAACCAATAATGGACCTAATAGAGCCTTAATTGGTTTTAAAGCCTGCTTCTTCTTTCATGGAGATGATTCAGTAAGACTGAGATTGTTCAGCCAAAACCATGGAAGAAAGAAAAAAAAAGCTTCAAAAATCAAATCCTGTAATTGAACGAGATTAGAGAACCCGATTCCCCTTTTTTTAAAATAAAAAAGGAGTTTGAGAGTGAAAACAATCACAAAAAATAAAAAAGGGGAAAGTCTTAAACTGAAAAATGTTTAGAAGGAGCAAGTTTCTCTCTTTCCCTATGGTGATTGGAGCAGTCACGTTAAGTTTCATTATCTTTTTTTTTTTTTGGTATCGGGGGGGGGGGGGGGGGGGGTGTGGTTTGTTTTAATTTATTTCTTCTATATCAGTTGGGTTTTCCTATTAGAGTGGTATCCGGTTTTGAATCTTTACATAACGGTCATTCCCAGGGTAATTATGTCTTAAAAGTTAAATCTTTAACTTACTCATTACTAAATTGATAATAGAAATGTTCCCTTTATCACATGTAATTCAATGAAACCCATGTTTGTTGTGAATTTTCTTTTGGGTAATTGATTTTGAGGGCAGAAGTGTTGAATTTTACTCGTTGGGGAAAACCCATTACCATGAAGGGGAAGAAATGTCTGATAGCTACAAATCGTAGAATAAAAGTAAGTAGGAAGTTGCAATACAATGGCAGCTAAATATTGCTTGTTCCTGATTTATTATTAACTCAGCATTATCTTTGGCAAGATCAGAATCTCCTTTGCTTTTGTATGGTGGTGGTTTTTAACTGAACTTTGTGATACTAGGAGGAGAGGAGGGATTCCAAAGGAATTACAAACAGGCCTCAAAAGAGAGGTGAGGCCTTGCCATGTCTCAACAGAACATGAAGATCTGTCGTGGAGATGGCTGGGAGGGAACGGCCTGGTCTCATACAGCTACATACGAATTAGGATGCCATGTCACTGCAGCAGTCGCATGGACCCATAATGGCCCGTGGCCTGCATAATCCATGTAGAAGATGGTCTCAAAGGAGGGCCCATAATGGCGCTTAAACAGCTTGCTCAAGTACAGAAAAGCCAGAGATTGTAGTTGAGGCCCATCATGAGAGTGGAGAGCAGAGGAGTGTCCGGTTAACTGCTCCGGACTCCGGCATCCGGTAGGACACAAATGGAGAGGCGGCTCCACCAGTTGATGTATGCTGGTACAGACTATGAGGAGCTCAGGGCTGCAATGGCATCTGCAGGCACTGGAATGGGTGTAACAAGACTCGTGACAATAGAGACTTGCAGGGAAAAAGGGTACTCGGTGGTGAATGTGAGGAGTGGAGATAGAACCAAGCTATTGTGTTTGTGCCTTAACTGACATGGAGTATGTGCTGTTCCATGCAGCGGTTAGCTCAAAGGGCGCCATGGCTGATCAGGTACCTTAAAAGCAGTTCTTGCAAATGGCTTGAGATGTTTATCTCTGTTCATGCCCTTCAGGTTTTGGTTAAACTTTGGTTTACTTCCAGGAATATTTCGTAAGGAGGCAGGAAGGATGCAGTTTGATTGCACGGAGTGAAAGACAAAAACATTGTTTAATTGCAGCAATCGAACACAGAGTCTCCCATGTTAGTTTCATAGACCATGCAAGTTTTGCTTCTGCTTTTGGTGGTTTAAATTGTATTTAGTAAAACAGTAGTGCTAATCTTTTTAAGGTATTATAGGGCAGGGATTGAGGCTGGATTTATGTACTCAAAACAAGATGGGATTGCTCTCGGATGTGACCAGGGCGTTTCGAGAAAATGGGGTATCAATAACCAGGACGGAAATTGGGACACATGGGGGGAGAGCAACCGGATTTTTCTAAGTGACAGATGCTTCAGGGCATGATGTAGATCCGAGGACGGTGGAATTGGTGAGACGAGAGTGGGGAATCTGCTTTGGTGGTGAATAAGTCCCCCAAGAGGACTTCTCGAGCTTCATCAAGTACTAGCAGAAGCAGCAGTGGTGAAGTGGAAGAAAGGAGGAGGTTTTCATTAGGAAATTTGTTATGGTCTCAGCTCGAGCGACTTTCAGGTAATTTGGGGCTCATTAAATCATGAGTTCCTAACTTGGGAACTGCTTTCAAGCTGTAACCAAGCCCTCGTCTGCGCATAAGTCTGTATCAATGAAATAATAGGTTTTTTTTTTTAAATTATTAAGATTCGAGAAGCCTAGTAAAGAAAAGCCACACGATTCTTGTTGATTGCTAAATCTCTAATAGAAAACAGCTGTGTTTTCTAGCTGGCACGGCTCTCTAATCCTTTATCCACAAAAATTCATAGCAATTCCAATCCCGACAGCACTAAATTTTTAGTATGCATTCCTGATCAAACCAACAATGACATATAAACTTGATATGATAATTAAGTGCATAATTATTAAGTGCATAATTTATTGGAGATAAAATTACATGAATATTGCATCGGCACATAATTATCCAATTTTGACAGGGTTTTATATACAAACCACAAAGCTTCCAGAGCCTTAGATCGGATTGAAGAAACAATACACAAGGTATTCACAAGGTTATATGCAAGATGAATCTAGAATACAAATATCTGAAAGGTTTTTGGTTCACATGATCTCTTCGATATCAAGCCAGTCATTTGATTCCTTGGTTTCAGGGTTACAAGCACTTACCTGCTCGGAACCAGAATGTTTATCACCAACACAGCAAACGTCCTTAACTGAGTCTGTAGAGCTCCTGCTGAGCTGGACCCAATCTCTTGAGTCTTTCGTTGAAGAATCAGAGCCAGATGTCACTTTCTTGTAACTTATTGGCACAGCATCATCATCCTCAAGATCGCTGAAAGAAACATCTTCATCGTTTCCAAGAGGGATTGTTGTAGCACTTGTGCCAGCTACCTCCAAATTTTCCTCTTTTAACCAGTCATCACCATCATCTTCAAATTTCTCAATAGAAACTCCAGAGGATCCAGATGTCGAATGTTGATGTTCCATCTCTTTCATTGGCTCTTTCTCAATGACAGACTTGTCAACAACCTGCATCTCAGTACTCTGAACTGGGTGTTTCTCTGTTTCAATTTCAACGGGTACAGCAAGAGCGGCCACTTCAGTTCCAGATGCCTTGGGTGGCACAGGCTTAGTTTGAGTGGGAGAAGGCACAGAAAGAGAAATTTCACATGGTAAATTAGCAGTTATATTTGAAGTGCCACTTTCAGAATGATCTTCTGCCGTCTTTGCCTTAGCTTGGTACTGAAACCCTTGCATTAACATTGCTCTTGCTTCAACTATCTGCATGCAGAACATTTAACAGTAAGAAATGCAGAAAGGGAAAGAGGAACGGAGGGGTGAAGGAAGCTGAATCACAAAGAACAGCACAAGCAATCCTTCCCTTCATTCCACGGTAAAATTTTCATTGACAGGTTAAAAAATTATGGGTTATATTTTAAGGAAATGATGTGCATAAAAGTGACGAAAATGTTGATAGAAAGAGAAAGAAGAGATCCTAAAAAAATGTAATCAGACTAAGATGGCTACAGCAAGGAAATGTGAGGCCTACTAGCATAACAGAGTGGCAAAACCAAATAAGCCATATACTAGCACTCCTTTCTCATAAGAGAGAATTGGGGAAAATGGTGTTCAAGTTTGAAATGGACATGCACAAAAGTACATGCACTTTTAATTTCCCATTGCAACGAAGAACTTTGTGCATCTAATTACTTTTTTATTATTAGTTTTATTCTCATTCAGGTAATGGTGGTAGATGAAATTCCGGAAGTGACTCCTCAAGAACTAAATATACATCACCTTGGAATCCCAAAAATCAGGGGCTTAACTAATGAAAACAAAAGGACCCACAAACTTACTTGGGGAGTAGACAGAAGTTCTGCATCAAGTTTATTTAGTCGAGGATGCAAAAGTACAAAATAGATCTTCCAAAAGCAACTCTCACGCATATATCCCGGGCAAAGTTCAATCCTAAGAGCAGCCAATCTTGGTGCAAGACGCTCAACAGCTAAAGCATGTTCTTGTTGTGCATCAGACATATCAAAATCTGAAATTTCAAAAAATATAAGAACTCTTGAAATAAGCCAGATTCATACCTAAAACATTAAATGTATATTTGCACAAACACATCGTTGAACTAAGGGTAGAGTGGAATATTATGGAAAACCAATCTAACATAGAGGCAAAGCAGTGATAATAAAATATACCACTAAATGCAGCTTCATATAAGACACCAAAATATTCAGACAGTTTTTCAAAAGCCACAAGTTTGCAATATGCTTTATTTGACATGTAGGTCATCTAAATGAAAGAAAAGATATGCGATTTAACCAAGACTTAGTTAACTAGAAAATAAAACAAAAATAGTCATAAGCATCGCCAAGAACCAGAAGAAAGTAAAATAGGATATGACCAGAAGAAATACTAGCGCATACACCAAAGGTTTCTACTTCATACCTAGAAATTTATTGCAAGGAGCGACCAAGAAATTCACAAATCATGATGAAGAAAAAAATACAGAAAGGTCTGTGATAAGACTCATGAACAGTTTTGAGAATTGCTTTACGACCAGTCAGCCATCAACTCCAACAAGCACCATAAGCAGAAACGATTATTCACACGCCTGGATCGAAGCAACCAACTACACCTATACGGGGTTTTTCGGCAAAAACTCATAGAGTTAAAACGTTAGCCGATTAAGAAATCACAAGTCACAACGCATAACGCAATTGGAATGTAGCAACCATAAAGGGTCAAAATCATAACTTGGTTCATTTTCTCATTCCATTTATTTCAAATTATACCATTCTATAATCAGTTATCAAATACGCATTTCAATTCAGTAATCAAAGTCAATCAAATAAAATCCCTAATTCCCAAAAAGAAAATTCCAAATAGAACAAAAAGAGAGAGAGACGAGAGTTAATCCTAATTTTTTAATTAAATCCCTAATGAATGAACAAGAAGTTAGCTTGTTTGAAATGCACATTAAAATTCTAATTTTTTTAATTAAAGCACATTAATCTGTGAAACTAGAAATTAATTAAATTACCATCAAAATCATCATTATCAGGCACAGGAAAATCAAGCCAAGTTTCTGGATGCATCGCGATATCCCTAGCAAAGGCGACCACTTCTTCGGTCAAACCGACAACGTTTCCGCTCTCGTATTTTTCAAGACTCTCTTCGTCGGATCCAAACTGAAGAAAATTCGAAGCGATCTTAGTGAACTCCGAGACGGCAATATTGTTAGACAGCTTCGAGATTCCGGTCTTGAACTTTCCGCCAATCTCCGATAAATCGCTGCGGATTCCCGCTATCAATGCCTCATCGGACAACTCTTCCGGATCATCGGACGGCGGCCGGAGAGGTTTATCCTCCTCGGCTTGATAGAGCGGTTCGTCCGATGACGGCGGAGGAGACGGAGCGAGGAAGGAGGCAACGCCCCAGAATTGGCGGGTCAGGGTTTTAGTGAGCTCGGAGAGGTCTTCTTTAACGCCACGTGGAGTGTTGGGATCCGATGAGGAATCGGAATGGGAATGGGAGGGAGAGGATTGGGTGATGGTTGGATCGGATTCGGGTTTCGGGTTCGGGGCGACATTGGAGCGGTCATTGTCGTCTTCGTCGAGTTTGAGCGAGTTAGCAATGGATCTAGCTAACCACGACATTGTTTTTTCTTTTTCTTTTTCTTTTTTTTGGTTTTTCTTTTCTTCTTAAAGTTGTAATTACTAATTATGCCTTACAGAGTTGGAAGAGTTTGCTAAACAGGATGTAATGAGGAAACACTAGTGGCAAACACTCCCCTCAACGACAGCGTAGTATCCTTTATGTTATTTTATTATATTTTATTATTTTAAATATCACACAGTTACATAATTAAATATGATAATTTTAAATATGATATGATAATATAATATAAAAAAATTATATATGTATTTAAAAAAACATGTTTCATATTTATTAGTATCGATGTAAAATTTGACATGAATAATTATAATCATGTAGTTTTTGATTTTATACATTATATGGACAATATATAAATATTGATAATATTATTTATTGTAAAGTATACAACGTTAATATTTATTTCAACATATTTTACTATTTATTTTAATTTAATATAATAAAAAATATTTTAATTTTTAATATTTTAATTTATACTTATTATATTATATCATAAAAATTATTTTAATATTAATTAATACTCATTTAAATTTTAAAATTTATTTTTTATATCTAGTAATATAAATTTTAATTAGTCATAAACAATTTTAGTTTATTTTTAATTTATAATTTTAATTTGAATTGAATTAAAAATACATCTATATATTAATTAAATTAAAAAATATATTAAATATATATTAAATGAGTATTAAATTTTTTATTTTTTTTAATATGTAAGTACTTTTTATATTATTAATATACAAAATTTATTAAATTATAAATAATAGATAATTTATAATTATTTTATTATTTTAATCGTATTTTTGTATGTATTCATGTTTGTCATGTTTATTTGTATATATTTGTATTATTCGTATTATGTTTAAACAAATTAATTATATATTTATTAATCTTATCATGTCACATGTAACACTTAAATTAAACATATTATATTCGTATTTAAAATTTAAACATATTTTTATAATTTGTGTCGTATTTATATTTTAATAATTTATATTATTATATATATCAAATATGACACAAGATATAACACGAAAACACATATTGCTAAGTCTATACATTAATAGTATAGTTGGGCACTGAGTTGCCTATGGATAAATCATTTCTAGATCTTTTGACAATGGGTTCGGGTAATTATGATTCGAATTATGGGATTTTTCCTGGATTTGATGATTTTTCAAGCGGTTTATGATCCTTAAGCTCTATAATTAGGATGACGTTAGATCATTGGTTTCAATTTTTTGTCTTTTTCATTAATGTTTAATTCAAAATGTTTGGACAAACAAAATTGTATGTGGTTTAATTGTGAGTTTTTGAATTTCATAGGTATCATAGTATGAATTGGTTTTTTTTTTTTAATTCATAAAGTAATATTGAGTAATTAAAAATTTAATGATTGTGAAAAAAATTTCAAAACTTTGAATTTTTATTTTCTAATTTTTTATTTTTAAATTATATTTAAAATAATAAAAAATGAAATTATTTTTTTAAAAAATAAATCTCAATTTTATAATTATTTTTATTTTTTATTTAAAATAAAACTTAACCACTAAAAAAATGACACGTGATTGATTTTTCATTTAATTATTAATTTTATTAAAGTTAATAGTGGTATGAAACACACGCAAATTTTTATTTAAATATATTTTTAATTGTAAACTTTTTAATAATATTTAATTTTTATTTATATAAATTAAAATATTTAGTCATAAATTAAACAACTATTTAAACGTTTAATTCAAATTGAACATTTTACCAAATTTAAATGTATTTTGTGTTTGAGATATTGTTATTGATAATAATTTTTATATAAAATATTAAATGCATTTTATATTTAATATATTGATATAAATTATAGTTAATAATTTTTATATTTTACATATATTTTGATAAAAAAATATAACACAAACGCATAAATGATCAAAGTCGACCATAATCAAATTCGATGGATTTTTCTTTTACATAGAAAATTTTGTGTTTCAAAAAATATTTTATGTACAAAAATTGGGGGAAAATAAAGTGTACTGATTAAAAAAGATTGAGTCATCCAGATCAAGTCTTTTGCACAGAAAAACCAGGAATGAAGTCTTTTATTTCTTCCCATATGCACGCTTGACATCATAACTTATTCCAGCTCTCCACAACTTTTCAATTTTCGGCTTGTCACCAATTTATTCCCATTCGAAGCATGTTACTGATTAGTAAGCTTGTTGATCCAGACATTAAAATTTCGCGACAACCTTATGATTTTAATATGCAATTGTAAGAACACGCTTACAAATAAGAGAGAGAAAAAATGAAAAATAAAGAAAAAGGGAAATCAATACCTTCAAAAACCCCTTGATATTTTACTATTTGAATGGAGAGAGAGGTGAGAATGAAGGGTAGCTATTTGAACAGAGGTAAAAGGGGAATGACAGGGGAGGGAAGTGAAAGGTCCAGGACCAGGTTGCAACCATCAAGCTGGCTTCATCGATGACGGTGGTTGCTGTAATGTTCGATAGCTGCCAAAATAAGGAGGAAAATAAGAAAAGGAAGAAGCGAAGATTAAAGAGGACAAGCCAGAAATCCAAGAAGGAGAAGAAAAAGTAGAAGGAAAGACAAAATGGTAGCGAAAAATTAAAAATTATATATATTTTGCGGAGCAATCAATTTGACACTAGGACCTCTATCCCAAAATTGAAAAAAATTTAGAGTCCCGTCTTTTCATCTTCTCCGTTTCTCTCAAATGTTTTCATTGAAAACATTGAAAACAAATTTTTTTCTCTAAGTTTAGCTTATTTTCATTTTTATTTTGTTGACCAAACAAATTCTTTTACTCATTCTCTATTTTTTAAAAATAAAAATAAAAAATAAAATATTTTCGTGAACCAAACATACACTTAAGCTTCTTTTTCTCACCTTTTGACCACTATTCATCTATAATTTCTTCACCGATTTTGCTTAATCTTAGATCAAATATCTTGTTTTTCTTTGTTTGTTTTCAATTTTCTGCACCTTCTTAGACCGCAATTCAGAAAAAAAAAAAAAAAAAAAAAAAAAAAGCAAATGGCGGTGGTTTAATATATGTGAGAAGAATTTGGTTGATATTTTATGTGTTTGATTTTGTTTACGTGGATTTGATTTTTTGTTTGTTTCTATGACATGGATATGGATCTTACGTGGCATTTGATTGGCAGCTTACAAAGCAGTCATATTATTTTTCTGTTATTTTTTGAATAAAATCTGTTAAAATGATTAATTTTGAATATTTAATAAATTTTAATAATTTGAATGGATAAATTGAAGTTTGGTGACCCAGATGGGAAAGTGAGTAAAGTTGGGTGACTAATCCTGTAATTTACTCATATTTCCCGTCCCTTCTTTTACAATTGCGAGCCCTATTCTTTCCCTCTCTTCATGTCCTGGTTCTGTGTTCTAGGCTTCCAGTAGAACAAGCACTTAACCAATCCTTCCCATAAAAAAAAAAATGCTCCTTCGGAATCGTCTATTGTCTCTCAATTTCACTTCTTTTTTATCACCTCCTTCTCCACCTTCCAAATCACTGTCTTTTCTTTTCTCTTTCGACAAAACCATCGCCTACTCAACCCATAAGCGCCCCGACCCCAAACCTAAAGTCTCAGCTTTAAGGGCCGCAAAGCAACCGATGTCTGAACGGGCTCGGTTTGCGAAGACGGTGTTGTTCGTGCCGCCGGGGGTCGACCCAGAAGAGGTAACAGATGAAATGATATTGCCGGGTTCCAACATCGTACTCGGACCTTACGGGGGACATTCTCAGATTAAGGAAGTGGAATTTGTTAAGAGTAGCGGTCGGGCTAAGGATTGTCCCAAAGATGATCGACCCGAGTTTGCAATCTTGGGTCGATCTAATGTGGGCAAGTCTTCGCTTATTAATGCATTGGTTCGAAAAAAGAAGTTGCTCTCACTTCTAAGAAACCAGGTGCCCGCTTTTTCAAATCTTTCCTTTTTTTTTTTTTTGCATTACTACTGAGTTTTGATTCGTTTATTTATTTATTTATTTTGAGATTGTTGAATGTGCAGGGAAGACACAGCTTATTAATCATTTTTTGGTGAATAAAAGTTGGTATATAGTGGATTTGCCTGGTTATGGGTATGTTTGGTTTCTTCTTTCAATTAGCTGCTTATTATTATGAGAATTTTTTCCTGAGTTCATGTATAAGCATTTCAAATAGTTAGTAAGCAAGAAAAGGATTGAACTTCCAATGGACCAAGCAACAAAAAAAAAAATCCTCTCCTTCCCATGTTAGTTTGATACTTTGTAATTTTGCTACTAAAATCTTTGAGCTGACTGTGATGGGTAAATATTACTATCATTATTAGCAAGTAATGGGGTGACTATTTGGTTGTAGTTCTATGGTTGAAGTTAGATTGATTTTGAGATAAAGTTTATTGTTTCTCTAAGCTTTGTTAGGCTGTAAGAATCCCTTTCTTGGAAACTCATTTTTATGAAGTTTCTATGGGCGGTTCTAATTGGCTTGACATAAGTTATAAGTATTGAAGATTAGATAAATCGAAGATTATGTTAATGTAAAGCTAAATACAGAATTATTTCTTTTATTACTCCATGTAGAACAATTTGCAGATTTATATGCCTGGTTATTTAGATTTACATGCACTTTTAGCCTGGTCCCACAAAAGAAGTCTGGACTTATGAAGGCAGAAAGCAAGGCAATACAGTATATTTACAGTTTGAATTTCTATCCAGGAATGAAAATTTCATTGCTAATTTTCACCACAGGAAAACTACAACCTGTATTAGCACATTTTTATGCCGGTTATTTAGATTATAGTTTGATATGTAAGACTAAGCCTATATTAGGCTAACATAGAATTACTAATATTCTAGTTATCTTATTCCAGGAAACCCACAACCAGAACATGAAATCTGAACCCAGTAGCCCAAAGCATTATCCATGTGCAAGAAAATAACTTAGCAAGTTATAAGCAGGGTTCCTCTCAAAGTCTCTTCGTTCTTCAATCTCATATATCTGACTTAAATAAGGCAGTTATATGCGCAAACCGTTGCTGTATTTTTGCAGTTTGGCACAGAGTTTACTGAATTTTTCAAATAGTTCGCTTGTGCAGTTTCCTGCACTTTAGCACATCACTCTTTAAACTGCATAGTTTCTAGTTTGGGCTTTGAGTTTACCATATGACCTTGTTAGTTATGCTTTTGAACATTAAGCATTAATTGCTAATAAGGTATATCAAATACTCTCTATATACGTAAACTAACCAGCACAATCAATTATTCCCTCCCACCTTATTAAGTTCTCATTTTGGACTGTTTCTAAGAACGAAATCAGTCATTAAATAGATGTATTGAAATTGCTTTTCTTATTGGTTAGTCGACCCTGCTTTTGGATGTTCCTTCATGATGACTAAAGTTTATGCTTAATCTGTAATTTTTTGTCAAAAAAATCTATAATTTTTCATCACTCAGATATGGACACTTGATCCCTTTTTTCCCTTCTTTCACGAGGAAAAAGAAAAACAAACTAATCCAGTTGATGCAGAAGTCATTATGCTTTTGCTTTATACACTGAAAGAAATAACAATGACATTAGAATATAAAATAAGGACCTCCCTCTAAACATCTTGGTTATGTGCATGATGACATATTGACATAGAATATAATGGTTGAAAGGTTCAAATGTTTGCAGTTTTGCTAAAGCCTCAGATGCTGCTCGAACAGATTGGTCTTCGTTCACTAAGGGCTACTTTCTAAATAGAGAGACTCTGGTTGCTGTGCTACTTCTTATTGATGCAAGTGTCCCACCTCAGAGGATTGATCTAGACTGTGCTAACTGGCTTGGACGCAACAATGTCAGCATGTCCTTATGACAATCTTGATTTCTCTTGTTAAGTTATGCAAGGCTTTAAATTTAACTGTTTCTTACTCATTTCTCTCTTTTCCTTGCTGCATTTCAGATACCAATGACTTTTGTCTTCACAAAATGTGACAAAATGAAGGCAAGCAAAGGAAAAAGGCCTGATGAGAACATCAGGGACTTTCAAGAACTGATTAGAGAAAACTATAAGCAACATCCCCCATGGATAATGACGAGCAGTGTTACTGGTCTAGGCAGAGATGAGCTTCTCCTACATATGTCTCAACTAAGAAACTACTGGGATCAATAGGAGCGGAATTGTTAGTAAATTGATGTGTAAGTTTATTCTTAAAACTATATATTAGCATAGACAACTAACTGAACTAGTTGCATACAGATTTTTCTTTGGAATCATTTCAATTTTCCCAAAGTAGACCTGCTTAAAGTCGACAGTCTTTGTAATTTAATTTTGTGCCATGATGTAGCATACTTTTGTGTACATAATTAAAGTGTTTTTTTTTCTTTTTTTTCATGTTTTATACTTTAGAACTTAAAATTTTCTTTTGAGATGGTATAGAGGGTTCTTTTGATAAGGTAAGAAAACGTTGCAAATCAATAAGACGGAATGTGTTGGAAGCGATGGAAAGAAAGATTGGAGCAGATCCTGAAAAACAAGTCTTGTGACAGGTGATGGTGGTGAAGGTCAGGGTCGGCAATCCAATTTGTTCCCGACGGATTCTGACCTGATCCTATGAGATTGGATTTTTTTTTTTTTTTTGAAATTCGTATTTCGGTTTGAGTCGAGTAAAGTTATGAAATAATCGGGGTCGGTCGGATTCGGGTTTTAGGCAAATCCGATCCGATTCGACTCGATATTATATAAAATTTTTTAAAATTAATTAATTATATATATTTATATAATGATATTTTTAAATATTTATATTTAAAAAAATATTTTATATTTTTAAAAATAATATTTTATTAATTTCGAGTCGGGTCAGATACTTTTTATATAGTATTAGGTCGGGTTCGGATATGAAAAAATAAAAAAAATTTCGAGTAGAATTAAATTTGAATTTAATAACACATAAAGTTAGATCAAGTTTGGAGCGAGTAAAACCGTTTTGAAGCGAAAAGGACGGTGGCAGAAATAATTTTGAAGAAAGAATTCCAAAAGCCAAAATTTGCCAATTTGGCAAAAGATCCAAAATGAAGTATGAGGATCATTATTTATAGGCCAGTTAGAAGTTAAAAGTGGGAAGATATGAAAATGCTAGTTACAAAAAAGTGATGGAAAACATGGGTTAATGAGAGGAAAATCAGGACGATTTAAAGCCTGTCATGTGTCACGTGCAGGTAGTAAAGCCTGGTCACATGTAGCCTAACCAATGGTAAAGAAGTAGAAGAAACTTTTTCCAACAAAATGCAATGTAGAGTAATTTAATCCCTCATCAAACTTCTATTTTTTTCACTCTTTACCGAGTATTATATAAGAACAAGACGAGCAGTCCCTCCAGTCCAGTCCAGTCCTTCATTCATTCTTTGGTCTTTTTATGAACTTTACCAACTACTTTCAGCAGTTGGGTTTTCACCGGCATGCTAATCTCCCATAAAACTTGGGTTATTGTCCTCCAAAACATCTTTTATATATATATATATATATATATATATATATATATTATTCTACTAAGTTGTCGGCAAGGGCAATGCCTGTTAAGGAAAACGTGCCGAATTGCTCAGTCTTCATCCCCAAATTGCATAATTTTTAGTAACAGAAAACCAATCTTTATGAATCATATGAATTTTATATATATATATATATATATATATATATATATTCTTTATTATTAGTTGTCATTTGCGGACCAATCGTCTTGGGACGTACAATTTTCCTTCTACAATGAGAACGAGTCACCCGGCCAGGTCTCCACCCACCCCCTAATTACTATTGCCTTAAAATATTGCTAACAACCCTTGTAGGCTTGTAGGGTATAGAATGTTCACACCTATTGCCACAGTTCTGCATGAAACAAACGTGGAATTTTTTTTTTAATAGTTGGATGATCAGAAAATTATAAGAAAACATGCATGTATGGCTTTTAACATGAAAATTTTAATTGCCTCTCATTAACATATGAATAAGTTATATAACCACCTAACTGTAAGCCCATTTTGTAAATGGATAAACAAAAAGTGGATTCCCTCTTACTTTGCTACCTAAAGAGTAAAGAAATATCATGCTTGTTTATTATTATTATTAGTACAAAGGAAGTAAAATCTTAGAGAAAATCAGGAAAAAGAAATTATAAGTGTTGAAATTTGAGATTAAATCTCAAATTTGCAAAAATCTACTTCCTAATTGATATAGTTGAATTCTTTTTATAATAATATTTTCATGTTAAAAAATAATTTATGCAAAAAATTCAATTGATTCATGGATATATACGATCTCTTGCTTGTTTTATTAAAGTTCAAATCCTTTTTTCCAAATAATAAAAACAATTAATATCTTCTATTCTATTCTTCTTCCCTCATATTTAATTGATATCTATTTCTTGTTTGTGCCTTTTATCGTTTTTAATTCTTTTAAATATGCTAAGTTTTAGCCATATATATATATATATATATATATATATATCTAAGTGATACTATATGTTATAGGAAAAAATTTAGATGAAGCTTTTTAGTTGAAATTTATGAAGTTTTTTATTAAAAATGATTAAATAAAATTGAAATTGAAAATCAATATTGAAAGATTTCTTTACATAGATTAAGTGTATAAATTTTGAAAAAATTTTAATAAATTTTGATATATATTTTTAGGTAGACATTTTTAATAAAAATATCGACAGAATTTTTATCATTAAATAAGTATCAATTAAATTTGAATTATAAATAATATTTTTAATAATATTTTTTTTATGTATTATTGATCTCTACATTGAATTCTATTAATCTATTAATTTAAATTTTTTATTAAATTATTTTTTAAAAAATTTTCATAAATTTCACCTAAAAAACTTTATATAAGTTTTGTTCATAGTAGTTAAGTCTGACCACCTTGATGTATTTATTACCTTAACCTTAGAGAAAAAGTTGGGCATATGTATATGCAGTTGCATCATTTACTCGTAATTGGTTTCTCTGACAAGATGATGTTAGGTATGCAATTAAGTCGGTGCAAGTGGTAAAGGAGGATATTGAGTTAAAATTAATTCCATGTTTTTGGACATTGTCGAGACTTGAGAGGTTTGGTTTCGTTCAAACTAGGGTTAATCTTCCCTAATTGTTCATTGAAAGGCTTGAGCATCACCATGCATGAATCCTTTGTTGACACTTTGACACCACCTTACTTCTTCAGTTACATGGTTTGAGTATAACAATTCATCATCTTACCTTCTATCATTGGATCCCTCTTTGTTTCATTATGAGCTATTGTCCTTTTTTTTTCTGGATAATTAATGAGCTATTATCTACTCTAGACAACCCCATGATTTAGAGGGACATTTTGCAGAGGACAATCCAAAGTTTCTCCATCTCTAAAATTTCCCCCTTTCCAATCTTCTTCCTGATCATTAAGGGATATATAATTCCAATTGGGTACTACCTGTCTTAAAATGCTTAAGCATGTCAAGGATCAATATTTCTCTCCTCTCGACCTCTCAATCACACTTAATTGCTCAGTGGTAATGCTTCCTCACCATAGATGTAGCCCTAAACCAGCAAAATCAATCTCCTTTCAACCAAACTATAAAAAGAAAAAGGAATTAAAGAAGAATAGAAGGGAGGCAAGTGTTAAATGAAAAGGGATAACTACTCTTGGGAGACTAGGAAAAGAACTTCTTGAAACCAATTACAGAAAAATAAAGTGGTACATATATATTGTAATGATCAACAGATGAAGACTTGTTCAACATAATTAGTTCTACCAGTTATTAAAGTACTACAACAAAAGAATGTAGTTTTAATCTTACATACATTCTCTTTAAGCTTAAGCAAGAATGAAAAAAGAGAAGCATCTTCGAAATTTGCCATAACTATCAGGATTTATAGTAATTAAGTTTTGGTGCCTGATATATATTTTCAAGGAACGGTGCTTTGCTCCAAGCTGGACATGGTTCCAGGACTCAGAATAGGGAAAGAGAACCAATTATAAGAAGATGGGGAAAAGTTTAATCCAAGTGAGTTCGGTGTAATTATCGCATTATCTGAGAATTTCTGGTCCTGGGGTTTCATATGATCTAATTCAGAGAGCGGATGCAATGGTGCAGAAACTTCTGTCCTAGACAATGGCGATGGTGCAACGTAAATAGGGGGAGGTGCCACTCTTTGGAGACGCTGTTGAGGCAGCTGAGACAATGACGACGACGACGACTGCTGATGAGATTGAGATATGAACTCAGGTGCACCAGTAAGCTTTTGAACCAAGTCCCGGAAGTTTATAGGGTCGACCCTGTAAATTTTACATGGTGTTGGTGGCAGTGGTGCAATTGGCTTCTTAAAGGGCTTTGCCAATGGCTTACGCACCGAATGAAGCGATGCATGAAAAGGCTGTGCAACCTTTAACCCTCCTCTTCCTTCTTGTAAAGCCGACGAAGAAGAAGAAGAAGAAGAATAAGCTTCCATAGCGACAGCCTCTTAATAGAAGATCAATAGGTACGTGCGAAGCTTTTTGAATAAAGCTGATGCAGCTGAAATTTTAGAACGCGGAGACTCCTATATATAGAAAATAAACAAAATTATGGGCAAAGATTGCACGAATGAGGACAAAAATATAATTAAAAAAGGCAAACGACGGTGGTATGAATCCGCTGTGGGGACTGGCTGATAAACAAAAATTCAAACTTTCTTTTATCAGCAGCCGGCTAGTACTTACAAATTACATAGGCAGCCCGGTCAAAGTACCTGAATTTTGACCCCTTTTTTGGGATTATAATTCAGAATTTTTTATAGTTCAATTTATTAAAAATTAGTGATTAATGACGGCAAAATTAAATATATGTATAATATATATAGTATAATAAATTGTGAGAGTGATAGGCAGCTACCATGAGAGGAAATTGAAGCAAATATTTGGAGGATGTGTTAGCTCGTGGGGGTGGACCAGCCGCCTCAATTATAGTTAGTATCTTTTGACCCGAATAAACAAGTTGCAATACCTATATCTTATATCATGCTCCACTCATTCCTTTGATATTGATATTTATAATTTACCTCCATTTTCTTCAAGCTTTTCGTTTCCAAACCCAAAAAATAATCTGAAGTTTTACTTCTTTGAAACATATGCATACATAGAAGCTCTCTTTAATGCATGTATTAACTGTTGAATCAAATATTTAAGTGTTCATCTTAATATTTTTTAACGAATAAAATTGGTGAGAAAAAAATCGATTGATTATTATATAATCTAATATTAATAAATTTATGTAAATTAAAGGAAAAAAAATAATGCAAAGATATGTTAGTGTTAGTGACGTCTGAAGTTAGTAACAATCTATTTCCATCATCAATATTTGATGAACACTCTCTTGTCTTTTTGTTCAAATACATCATTTTGCTTGATCGTTCTTATGAATAATAGTGCTATTTCAGTGTTGACAATTGGATTGATGGTGACATCTCATCTCTATGAGATAGTAAGAAAATATTTAAATATGAGTGATAAAGTTTCAAACATGATTAAAATAATATGATTCAAACTTTGCGAAAAGTACTAGAAATTCAAATTGAAGAAACTTGAATTGAACTTGAAAGTTTACATGGCATACTATAGTATTTAATTTGGATAACAATAAAACTAAAAGCAATTATGGAGATGAATATATTTCACAAATTAAAATTTCCTTTATGTTTAAATCATACTTATTAGGCCAATACTTTTTAAGCTAAAAGCCTAAAATAGGACCAAATTTTTAAGACACACAAAAGGAAAGTAGTCTAGATAAGTTTCAAGAAATGTTATCTGTACAATATTTGTCTTGCTCACAAGTGAAAAAGCCAAACATACATTATATCATATTCAGAGTCATATAATTATGTGTTTGTTACACCTTAATCCCATATGAAGATAATTTGAGTTTTTATTATGATATACATAGAGATAAAAAAAAATCTAAACTTGTGATGTATATTTTATTGGATAAAATTATGAAATTTTAAGTTAAAGCAGACAATATCTTACAGGTTAAGTTTGGGTCTTCGTAAATGATTTCAGAACGGTCACTAGTCATATAAGAGCTAAGTATTACACTGTAAAAATCACCTCTAGAATCTTGCGAGAGCTAAGTGATGTACGATGGAACCACCACTAAAATCTCAATGTTTAATGTGATTTTGTGATCTGTATGTATTTTGTGTTGGACTTGCTTAACATTTGGTGTGATTCGATGGATCTATTTGCTTTATATTAGGTTTGATGAAGACAACAAGCTTTAACAGAAGAAATTTATAACGCCTCAATCTTACGTTGGGATAATATAAAGTTTTGCTATGATATATATGTAAATGCTTAAACCTAAACAGATAAAGTACATTTTGTGAGACAAAATCATAAGACTTTTGAATTAAAGTGGACAATATTTTACAAGTTAGGTGCAGATCTCTATAGTTTCAAAATGTAAAAGGTTGAAGGTAGATCTGACAAATTCGTGTCATCATATCATATTTCATGTCAGGCACGATTTCAGATATAACACGAATAATCTTGATATGAATATAATATGAATACTTAAATGATACAAATAAATTAAACATGAATGCGATAAATTTATTATATATGTTACACACAACACGATTAATATATTTTAAAATTAATTTATACCAAAATAGCACAATAAGATACGATTAACATGATTATATACAAATAATATGATTGCATACGATTAATTCATTTATTAAAAAAATCATTAAATGAATATTTAAACAAAACATTATTTAAAAATTAAAAATTTATAATTTATTTAAACATCAAAATGAAACGATAAATACAATTATTAGTTTATTTTTAAATAAATTAAAATAATTTAAAATTTTTTTATGTTATAAATAATACATTATTTTAAATATATCATTACTGTTTAATAAGAATATGATTCAAATAATATTGTGTTTTAATTATGTCGACACGATTAACATACAAAATATAATTATACTAAACCCTTACATAATTTTTCTCTTATTATTTTCTTGTTGTGTCATTATATCGTGTTAAAAATTATCACATTTAATTGATGGTAAGAATTAAAGGACTAGTTCAACTCACCTTACACTCGCTCGTAGCAATCCTATTTGATTTCACTACCTTCTTCCTTACCTAGTTACTAATTTGACTATAGGAATACATCCTAAAGTTCTAACTCCAATGACTTTTTTATCATTCTTTTCTTTTTTACAGGTTGGCGAGCCCTTTTCCTTAAATTACCTATGAATCTTATCCTATCAACCCACAAACACCTCAACGATTCTATACATGGAACACTGAATCTTTACATTATATTTTCCTAGCTACTTAGTACTTATTAAAGAAATTTGAATTTTCAACTAACTAATCTTGAACATCAAAATAAAAAAAGTTTAATACGTTTATAACCTATGGGTATCTAATTAACAAGTTAATTACTTAGCCTGTTTGGTGAAAAAATCACTTTAATTATGCTGCAGGCAGCAGCCTAAAGCTAGAAACCCTAAAAGCCCAATTGATGTTATGCATCTAGCTTTTTAATTTTGTTTTGCTTATAATTTATGATCAATAAAATAAATAAATTTAGCAAGTGTCACTTAATTTATTTAGAAATTATATATTAGATTCAACTAAAATTTATTAAAATTCACATCCAAATTCAATCTTTAACCTTAAATTTAAGGGGTTGAATCAATTCACTCCTTATATTCTAACATTAGTTATTAGTACAAACATGGCTAAGATTAACTATTAGAACCTAAAAATTTTGTCATAAAAACTTAATCCATATGACTCAGTTATATATTGATTAAAAAAAAAAAACAAATAATAAAATTTTAATTAAAATATATATAATGAAATTATTCATCTTCCTAACTGCCACATTTTTCTTATATGTAACATTCATGAAATCTTATCCGAACAGAAGGAATTACGAACATAGTTGTGTGGCAGAATTCAATACAATCGCAGAACAGTCATATTACGCAATTGATTTTGCATGAATAGCCACGAAATGATTCAATCATGGGAACACGTGAGCCAAAGTAGGGGAAGCAACAATTTCTCGTGAACCAATCACGGGGGTCTTGTATATATACATTCAGCATGAAGAATCGTGTTCAATCTCAAACACGCTTCTTTCTTGTTAGTATAAAATTTTTATTAAAAGAATTCGCTAATTTCTCTTTCCCTTTTCTCTCAATTTACATTGTCTGAAGAAAAATAAATTCGATCTTTATAAAAATATTTCGAAAATAAAATCTCAAATATATCGCATTGACGTGAAAAAATGCATTTTTCATGGTTTAGCAGAACCATATGCAATGAATTATGATTCCATTTTGACAAAAGTATTCAAAGGTAGCTGTCGGGTTATGTTAATTTGTTTTGTTCAAATCAGCCTGTAATCCTTGTCAAGCATGAATTTAAGATGCCGATAAATAAGTCTGTGGATAAGAACTTTCTGGTGACTAAAATGCTTACCGAAGGCTGCTGCAGTGCGACAGCTGCGCGTTGCCGTCCCTTTTTTACGGAGTCAACAGTCTTTAAGCAAGAGGTGGCTAAGCCCCAAAGAAATCTCCAAGTGCAATTTTAAAAGTCTATATTTAAAGCAAGAGAAGAAAGAAGCTTGAGATGGCAAGGACATCATGATTATTAATCATTTAATCGTAATAATATTAATTGTCCTACTTAATTAAGGTTTGAATGATGTAATGTAAAAAAACCCAGTTTTTCAGTTACAATTCTAACCCTTTTCTCCACATTCTAGCATTTCCATTTTCTCTGAATCTAAATAAGATTGTAAAGTGGATCATATCGCTTTCAATATGTCGTTTAAGCTTTGAGTTTTGGTTACAGAAATGGATCAGGAACATGCACCGTGCAATCATGGTGGCAACTCTGATACAAAGAAGGAAAAGGAGACTGCCTGCCTTTCCAGTTTCCACCATCAAAGTCTCATTCAAATTGATGCAAAAACTTGTTGTCATGCGGTCACTGATTCTCTCAATCAAAAACAGGATAATTATCCCTTTATTCAGTATTAAACAATGGCAAAAGGTTTGAAAATACTCTATCCTTTATTCTTTATCAATCATAATCATTTGGTCTTAAATTGAATGTATCTTCTAATAATGGTGCTGCCAAGACCCCACAAGATTTGACGGTTAAAGCAGCCCCACTAAACATTGAAAAAAAAAAAGTATAATTATATGCAAATAAACAAAATATAAAAGGGAACCAGAAAGTTCAGGCTTGAAAAAAACACACTCAAATGAACGTGACAGTAAGTAAATCCGGTAAATTTAATCATAAAAATGTGTACAAAAGTAAGAGGAGTTTAAATTTTAAAATTAACAAATATATTTTATATTTAATGGTTTCATACAGATTATAATATTATAATTTTATATTTATTTAATATGAAACAGATATGGTATAAATATACATAGTAATAAGCACTGCAAAGTCATTATAATTGGAACAGAAGAGATTCTTGATGGCTTCTCGTTAAAGTATTGAGCAATTTTATTTCCATGGTTGTGGGTCTCAACGGTCATTCAAAGATGCCGTGCCAATGGGGGGCCCTTAATTGCAGGTTCCCTTTAGAAGGCAATATGGAAGGGGGGATCTTTCCCTTGGTTTCTTGACGTTGAATCAAACCAAAGATAGAGCGAAAGAAGGTAATGGAGTACTAAAGAATAGTTGTACAAAGCCAAAAAAAGTATCAGTTAGCCCCCACTACAAGTCCTTGAAGATACATGAAATGATGAAAGGGGAAGCTTTTATTTTTGTATTAATTTTATTTTAAATATAACCAATTCATGTAAAAAGTTAAAAACCACTGAATTGACGTAGAAATTTCTTCATTCCAACTCAGATTAACGCACTTGTTTCAGCAGAAGCATTAATGACTCAGGGTGGGCTGCAGTCTCAAACCTGAGCTTCTGCTGATTTCAAACAGAAGTTTTCTTGCCAATCCGTGCAGTGATAGTTCTCAACTTTCTTTTCATTTCATTTCATTATAACAGTGATTGAGAGAGAGAGAGAGAGAGGTGACAATGGGTGCCGTCCTCAACTTCTTCCACAAAGGGACATATAAACTACAAAAAATGGACCCCCAAAATAGTAATAGTTCAACGCATGTGTACAAAAGCTAAGAAGACCGTCTTTTTACTTTTCCTTTTTCTAAATTCTAAACTTGCAGATTGCAACCAGGAACATGGAGGCCCGATGATTTGAAACAAAAGCATTTATTAATTTTTCTTTGAAGGGACTGTAAAGGCGATGATATCAGAATCTTATATGGATGAAAACTGCAGAATGAAGAATAAGAGCAAATGAAAAAAGAAATGATTAATTTCATTGTACACATTGAATAGACAACCGAACTCCAAAGGCATTCCAGTTTCTACAATTGTGGAGTTAAAAGCAAAACTCCAACTAAAACACAAGCCGAAAATTTCCAAGGCCACTACCATAGGAACAACTTGGCGGAGAGAAGGGCCCAAGGACCAAAGCAATTCTTTGTCTATTACAATTGTAATTGCAAGCTCCAAAGTCTTGCACAAATTGCACTCCTCTTACATGTATTGCCATCCAACAATATACCCCAACATGAATCTATTACACAAACATTTTTACATCATTTCTTCTTTTGGGGGGTTTATTTGACAAGGCATTGGAAAAGAGAACTTGACATAATTCCATTGCAGCAAGATATGTGTTTTTCTTGTCCAAATTATGAGTGTTGTTTAAGTTGAATCAATTGCTGGAATTGAAGTTCTTAAATATATACAAGAGAGCTGATTCATACCTCAAACCCCCATCTCAAATGATGGTTCATTCTTGGAAGTTTTGTTGACCCAAATAGGGTAGGCCCTCTTACTCCCTTGCTTTCATTAGCAAAAGCCTTTGAGAAAGATCGCAAGCAAAATTTTCCTCTCATTGGATTGTCCTAGTGAGCTTGCACTTTGAAATAAAGATGGTGTCTGTATAATTTAGGCTACATAACTTCAAGAGCTCTGCAGACCTTTGCTTCAAGACAGGATTGCAACCACTCTGAATCACGAGAAGCAGCTTTGCTGCTAAACCTGCTTCTAAAGCAACTGAGGAGCATTCCTCAGGAGCAAGTTTACATACAGACCACAAAATTGACAATGCATATTGAGTACAGCTTTCTGAAACTCTCATCAGCAGCCTCACCATATTCGGAATTGTGTTTGCACAATCCTTCAATGCTACTTTTCCCTCCGGCAGAGCAGATAATGTATCCAATATGAAAAGGGCTAATTCTAAGCAATCAGGCTCCAAAGCAGGCAACAATTCTACCAATTGAGAAACGGCTCCAATACTCACAATCAAGCTCCTGACTTGTTTATGCAAGCATATAGATCTGAGGAAGCTAAGTCCAGGCAAAATTCCATTTGAGTGCCTCTTATCTTTCAGTAAGCGCATTAAACCAACCAACAGCCGATGGCTGGAGATGCTTTCTGACCGAAATTCCTTCTCCTCCATCAACTTCTCCATCAATCGCGTACAATTGATCCTTGTCTCCACTGAACCTTCATTCAGCATATCCACCATCAATGAAATCGTTGTCGGCTGCATCAAATTAGTTTTGGACTCTGAATCAAGCTCCAAATTGACAAGAATACCAATTGCTTCTGAACCAACTGCATGGGACGTAAATGGGCCTAGCAAGGATGAAATTACAGAAACCCCACCTTCATCAACCACCGTCTTCCTAGCCGCAGCATGTGCTGCCACAACTTGCTTCAGCTCCTTCAAGGCTTGAATCCTGGCTTGACCCTTAACCTTCTTCAATGCCTCCAGATGCTCACTTACTCTTCCTTGCACATCCTCTGATCTCTTCTTCATAAGTGAATACTTCTGCGAAAACCAAGTGTAAATCAAATGGTAAAGGGTTCTATTTGGGGTAATCGAATCATCCCAAAGCTCCTGCATTGTAGTGGGGCAAGTATAGTGCCCCAAATTGAACCATTTGAGAATGTTGGACCTCTCATAAGTTTGGCCAGTACAAAGGGTAACAGGGTCTTGCATTGGCTCAAGGGAGATTGGACAAATAAACACCGAAGGAATCTCAGGTATATCAAGCTCTTCAATCATTTTCTTCAAATCCAATTTCTCACCAACAGCAGCAGCAATGACTTCACCACCAACAACACCACCCAAAACCCCATCTTTAACAGCAGTATCCAGATCTAGAACCTGCCCATCACCACTGCCATCAAATCCAGCAACAACAAACCCATCCCTCTTTGAGGGTTGAAACATAGGCATCTTTGAAACCCTCCCTTTTCCAAAAAAAAAAAAAAACAACACAGATTCTCAAGGAACCAAAAAAGAAAGATTTTTCCCCCAACACCCTCTAAATTCACTGCAGTGATAAGCACCCTTAAAGGCACATTACATCTAGGTTATACATAAAAGATAAGAAACAACTACTCGATTTTTCTCTCATGGACAAATCATAAAGCAAGAAAAAATACCCTCTTTTTTTTCCTCTTTATTGTACAAACTCACACATATCTATCTCAAAACCCTGCTCCTTTCCCTTTGCTTTATCCTGATTCTTTTTCTATGGTCAAAAGTCCCTCATTTTACCATCATCATCGTAATAATAATATCACTAATAAACACTCAATAATCAAGCTCCCATCTTTCATTTGTTGTTCAAGCTTCAAAAAAGAAAAAACAGAAAGGGTTTGCTTGGAATCACCAATCCTTCAAAACAAAAAAGATGATACTAATAAAGAGTAGTCAAAGATCAACAGTGAAAACGTAGTACAAAAGCCAATCAATTAGCCTTTTTTGTCCTAACCCAACCAAAACCGGTACAGAAATTTAGAAAAATGTAAAAACTACCCAGATAAGAAAAACTTGAAAATTTTCGAGATTTACTGAAGATTATTAGGAGAAAAAATTTATTGTCGAAACAGGTCAGAGAGAACTGCGGGGAAAAGCCATAGAGCATATCAGTAACTATAATTATACTATAATTAATTAATTAAATTTTAAAATTATGTAAGATTTATTAAAATATTATATAAGTTTTCACATAATTTTGAATTACAATTAGATAATTATTATATTATAATAAAAATTGTAGTTGAAATATTCCCGTCTTCAAAGGCTTCCTTACTGCTTTCTTTTGGGGCAGTTTTTTGGATAAAAATAAAAAATTAAATTAATAAAAAAAACTTTCACGGAAAATAATAAAAACTAATTACATTATCAAAGTGGCAATAAATTAAAGGATTTTTTTTTTTTTTGCTATTTTTTCTTCTTTAAATGAAGGAAATAGATTTTTTTCAGTTTTTTACCAGAGAAAAAAAAAAGTTGAAATCTATCAGGTTACCGGGAACTACGGGTAGTAGCCGGTAATTATGCCCCTCGACCCGTGCGGTTATATCAGTTCTTTGCCGTAACGTAATCTCCCGCTACTCCTTTTTTTTTTTTTTTAATTCTTAATTTATCTTTAACTTTCAACTTTTATGTTACGCAATTAAATTCTCTTAACGCCAATTTTCAAAGTCTTTTAAATATTTTAGTTTCAAATTTATAATTTAATTCAGATAATTCATATCATTATTTTTTAAAATAATATTTTCTATGCTTTTTTTTTAATTTTAACTATGATAATTTTTTATCGACTTTAAAAAACTTTAAATTAACTGTAAAAATTAAAAGACTACCCCAAAAAATAGTTTTATTTTTTGTTTCTAGTAAATTTAGCTCGGGATACTGAATTTTCTTTTTATCAAATTTTTATTATTTAAAAAGGTTATTGTAAAAAACAAAAAGAAAAATGGATTCAAATCTTCAAGATTATAATCGGATGTCTTAGAACTTTATCCACATATGTTATGTGGACATAATTCAGTTCAAAATTTATTAATGTAAAAAACTAAAGATATTTGAGTATAATATTGATCATAATTTGATTTTAATCAAATTAATCAATAAAATTGTTTTGATTCTATTAATCGATCGATCGTCAAATTAATTTCAATCAGTTGATAAAAATATTTTAGAAAAATTTTAATTTTTGATTAATTCAATTTAAAATTTTTAATTGAAGTAAAATATCATCCAAATATAAAATAAAAAATATATTAAATATATTATTTAATTTCATAAGTTGTTAGAGTTTTTAATATAATACTTTGATATTTAAATATTTTATTAGATAATTTTATTTAATTTATTTAAAATATAAAAATTAAAAACATAATTTAACTTAAATATATTTATTATTCTATTAATTAAAAAAATTAACCGAATTAATCCGATTAAATTCAGTCTTTAATTTTTAAAATTTATAAATTCAATTAATTAACAAAAATAATTTAATATAATTTCATTAATTCGATTTTGAATAATTCGATTCAAAATTAATTGAATAGACTGAATGATCTCTTCTATTTCAACTAATCTTATTAGTGCTTGGCATGGAGTTAAAAATTTTGGAGGCTTTAACCTCATTTAAAAGCCAAACAAAGAAAGTTCAAGCATTGCCCTTTTACATAAGACATCTAATTATAATGATTTTGTACCATACGTTAAAAATAATAGTTTAAAATTTAAATTGTAAATTGCGGAGAGAATGAGATGTGACTGACTATACATTACTATACATATGATTGTTACTCTAGAAACTGTGTGGGACATGTGAGAGTATTGATCATATTAATAATATAACAGTTAAAAGGGAAAAGATCCTATTCGCTATTTAAAATTTAATAAAAAATTTATTTTTTTATTTAAGGGTGATAAAGGAATTTTTAATTAAATTTATAGTTAAAATTTAATGATTAAAATTAAATATAAGATATATAAAAATTAATTAAAAATATTAAAATAATTTAAAGTCCAATTTCACTACAGTCCATCAAACCCCCACGGGCTGATATGAAAAAAAAAATCAGTCTTTACTCTTTAATCTGTACCCTTTACTTAAATCCACATCTCGAATTAAAAAAATCGAATATTTCAGCGTCACTATTTTACTAAAACCAAAGGTTTTTATTTTTTCCTTCTTTTTAAATTCTCATTACAATTAAAAAAAAATTCAGACAAAAAAAATCCTCGTGGGGCCCACTCCGAGGAACTTACCAATTCTCACTATTTTTTTCTATTTTAAGTGGTTTATTTTAGGTAAAGTGCCAGTTAAACATTTGACCGTGACACTTTTTGCTTTGACTGTACGCCTCTCCTGCCTTTGCGTCCCCCCCCCCCACTTCTAGCCCAACCAATCACATCCCCCCACGTGACTCTGGGAACAGTGTCCCCAGACTCGCCTCTTTGGTTACCTCTAATTTTTTTAATAATTAACTCAATTAATTAATTTAAATAAAAATTTTTTCTTTCCAATGGTTTCTTCAACTTTCTTTTGATTCTGGCAGCTGTTGGTGTATAGTGGTAGGGTACAATTAGGGTTGGAAACTTTGGTGGTTAGGTTTTCAAAGAGTTGGGTGGGAAATTGGGGATATTGGTAAAATTTTAATTAAATGAATTAATGTTTGGCCAAAAAATTAAAATGAATTAATGGATTTAGATTTAAATTGAACCATAATAATAAGGGTATTAAATATTTGAGTAGGTTTTCAAACAGACAGGATCAAAAGAGGTTAGATTAATTTATTTTAAGGTTTGACAGCTATTTTTATTTGGATTCATCTATTTTTTTCATGTAATATCAAACATGAACAGAGTGTAAATAGTTATGTGATATATTGATAAAGTATTAAATTTTTTAATTTAAATGATTATAATTAAAATTTTGACAACCACTAACATTAAAAAAAAAAAAAGGTGGGTTGAGTTTATTCCAAGATTGATAAAAAAAAAATGGAAGAAATCAAGAAATGGGTTTGAAATGAATTTCAAATCTATTTCGTTTAAGAAGTCTAAAACCATTAGGAAATCAAATAAGCATATGCTTCCCATATAGGGTGTCACGTGACCCACAATATTTTTATTATTTTCAGCAGTCATTGGTTTTTTACAGTGGGTTTTTTATTTTTTATTTTTCTTGTTTGTGATTTTTTCAGATAATCATTTTGAATCTTAATTATTTTGAAATATAAATTTGATAATCTTATTAAAAATAGACATATGGTACTCATCATAATTTCTAATGTATTTTCTTATAGCTTTTAATATATTGATGAATGATGAATTAAATCATTAAAAAAGTATTGAGATATCTTTACTTATGTGATCTTGATCAATTACTTAACAAAAATTAAAAAAAAAAAAAAAGTTAGGAGATGTGTGTAAAAATACGAATTGAAAAAAAAATTATAGAGAGAATATTAAAAGTAATATATCTTTGAATGAAAATTTGCAAATTAAAAAAGAAATAATGATGTAGCATATATTATTTATAAGCTTAAAATGTATAGGATAATTTTGATGCATAAATAATTTATAATTATTGGGATTTTAAAATTATTTGAATTTTAAATGTTGTGTATATCTAAAAAAATTATTTAAATTTTAAATGTCATACATATTTAGAAAAGTTGAGTTGAAAAATAAATTTTGTATCCTTAAATAGAATAAAGCATATATAAATTAAAGGATTTTGATAAAGTTAATCTATGTAATTTTAAAACATTGAAAAATTGATTAAATATATAAGATTATTTGATAAATAACATAAAATTAATAATTATTCCTAAAAACTTATATGTCAAATATGTAAATAGCTACACGGCAGACCTTCTTTGAATATTTCTTGTTTCAAGTTTATTATGAAAAATATATAGAATAGTGGGCAATGCCCATTAACCTCCAAAACCCAACCCAAGCCCGAACCCAAACTCAAACGGTCTAATAAATGCCTTTGGCCTTTGGGTCACATGGGGTTGAACGTGGATTACTCATAAATATGAGTATAAATGATACATTAGTACTCGTAAATTATTCCTATTCGATTCGAATAAAACTCGAATTCGATTTGATTATTATTGAGTCGAGCTCAAACTCGAGTTGTTTGACTCATCGATTGAATCGAGTTCGAGTATTTTTATACTCAGCTCAAGTAGCTTGTGAGTTTAATCGAGCTTTTATATTTAAATTTTTTTATTATTTTAATTAATAAAATATCTCAAATTCGAACTCGAACTCCAGCACAAATAATCAAGCTATTTGTCGAGTATAAGAATCAAGTTTATTTTTACATATTTTTTAGCTTAATCGAACGAGTTCGAATAACTCAAATTCGATCACGAATCGAGTTTGAGTTAGAAAAATAAAATTCGATCGAATTCGAGTTGAATATCGAATAACTAGTTGAAAGTCAAGCTCGAACTTTTCATTGTATCGATTCGACTCGATTACACTCGTACTCATAAATCATGAGTTTTTTTTTTTTCTTTTTTTTTAATAGAAGTCAAACGTTTAACGAGATCAGATTTTTAGCGATTACAGATTAAAATTAATTTAGACACATAATATTTTTCCTAGTCAAATTAAGTAAATATTAGTTCGGGAGTTAAGGGTAAATAAAAATTTTTTAATAAAAATGAATACCAACAAATATTCGTTAATGGATAATAAGGTAGATGGATTCAACGGCAGGTAAAAACTTAAATCAATAAAATATAAGTATCTTTTGTATGTTTCTCACAGCCATGACTGCAACAAGTACTCATGGTCTAATGGATAAGCTGCTTAAGGGATAAAGTTTCTGACTTCCAAACAGGCAATTGTGGGTTCTGGCTGTGCTTTGCCACGTTCAGTTATCAGTGATTTCCCAAGTATAACTCTTTTAACTTTTTCAATTAATAAACAAACAAACTTTCACTAGTCAAACACACCGAATTTATTTTGCTTGGTGAGGAGGCCTAGAATCAGCATCCTGTTTTACACCACCCATAGACTTTTTGGGTCAAGACATTGACAAATCTTGTTGTGCATTAAGTGGTTGAGGGCAGGTCAGGTGCATGTGATATAATCACCATCCTGTT